CATGACATCATTTGACACGTGACATTTTCCTCCCTTCTGATTGGTTTTTCACATGACATCATTTGACACGTGACATTTTCCTCCCTTCTGATTGGCTATCCCTACCTCGTCGTTCTTGTCCTTTAACGCATCTTCATATTTCGTCTCCAGTTTTTGCTTGGCTGCGTTGGTTCTCCGTTCTCGTTTCAGAACATCAATGATAGATTTTTTTCGCTTGATTTCCTCAGCTGGTTGTGTGAGTAGTTTCTCCTTGACGACAGTTTGTAGTAGATCCATGTGATCAAGGAAACGTCGATATGCTGGGGCACACGGGAGCTTTAGATCTTGTGGCAAAAAAAGAATGGAGAGATCAAAGAAAGATAAATGAGTACATGAATAAATCGGTGACATAGTTGAAAGATTCAAAGAAAGAATAAGATGGATGGATGGGTGGATGGATGGGTGGACGGACGGACGGACGGATGGATGGATGAATGAATAAGCGGAAGAGAGAATAAATGAATGGATGATATGAATGTTTACAGCAGATGGACAGATTCAAGGCTACCAATTGCGCACCACCTATAAATTCTCTTAATCACGTGACATACCTAAAATAACCTCGACTGCTTTCGGGTTTTTCTTGAAATATCTCAAAATATCCAGCAGCGAATACTTCAAGCCCTGCTGAGCAATAATCGTATCCTTCTTCAACATCTTCCACTCTTCACTTCCCTCAACATCGACACGAACTTCAGCAGACTGCTCGCCTTGTGATTGGCCGTCGCCATGGATACCAGTGTCAATCAAAGGTGGCGCAACGGCTATCGTCATCTTTAGGTTTTCCTTTTGTAACCGAGCAGCTGTTTTCTGGTGGAAAAAAAATGAGCTAAAAAGTCTGCAAGTATCTTCCAAGCACACTGCATTTAACAATTATTATTTCAAATCTAATTCAACGGCCTATTCTTCTCGCCATTTTATTTTTCCACGTATTCCCCCATGAATAATATTTTTCACTCTCTTCTCCCATTATTTTTATCTTTTGTTTTCTCTTTTTCTTTTAACCAATTCATGTTTCAATCCGTTGAACTTGACTTGATTTCAACTTTGCTTCCATAAATATCCTTTTCGTTTTTCTTGCTCTTAATTCTTTTAAAAACCAATTGCTAGATAAATCTTTCTTGTTTTTACGAAGGGAGAATTAGAATTTAGAAGTTGATTTTTTGTGAAGGGAGAAAAACCAAATGAAAAACCCTCTAAGCACAGGAGAGAACCAACAAACAACTCTACTCACATACTACACAGGAGAGAACCAACAAACAACTCTGCTCACATACTACACAGGAGAGAACCAAC